GCCACATAGGATAGGGAAAAGGAGTAGTTGTGCTAGCTGAAGGTTGTCCAACATGTACCCCCATTTAGCTGCCACATAAAAGTTTCCATGTTTGTGTAGATTTTACATGATTTACACAACACTCATATATGATCTTATAACATGGGACACTATCAAATGGAAAGATTAGCTATTATTGTAGGGGAGATAACCAGTGAAGCCAACAATATAATCATTTCTATTCAAGGGAAGAGGGCTAATGAAATCCTTCAATTCCTGCTTTTTTTTTTTTTTTCTTTTTCTTGTAGTTTGTTTGATTTCTTTCTGGATCATCAATTCAAACATATACAGTTCTATACTCAATTGACCAGTGAAGCCTAATCACCCATGATGAGGCTCCTCTCAACTCTATTAATTGTAGCTTTTTCTTGTACTTTGAGGCTTGAGGGACAAAAACAGTCATGACATGGTGGGCTCATAATCAGATAATGATATAATGGGTTCTCCTACTTGGCATATTTTAGGCCTCTATTTCAACAGTCATCACCATATGGTCTGTCAATCAGATATGATTTGTGACTCAGAGTCAACTAGCTTCTAGCTCCAAACGAGTCACCCGAGTCATAACATTTTATATATGTGTGCCCCTGTCAGCTTGGGAATATGAGGTAAGGCATGACAGCAAGAGATTAGGGATATATTGATAGACATACAGTCGTTGACCTCTCTATAGTAAGTTGATGGTCCCTACCAAGTCATCATCATCTGGTTAAATTAAAAGTGGTAGATCACCATTAATTTATGACCGTAGGATCATGGAGACGATGAGTTGTCCGTTGGGTCCCATCCCATGGGACACGTGGGACCCACCAAGGCAGAGAGCAGGAATCTGTCAGTCACAACTGCTACAACCATGAACAAACAGGAATCTCTAAGTGCATCTAAGAGCAGGAAAAGGGAAGCCAATAATATTATTATTTTTTTTTTCCTTTTTGTTCATTTCATTGAATTGCCAAAAACACCCTCACATGGACATGTGTCCATCATACAGAATGCTGTCATTCCCTTTATGAGGATTCTTTCCTCCTTTGAAAGCTGTAAACTAAAGAAAACTCACAGAACCTCAATCCCCAGAAAGCTTTACCCAAAAAGTTACTGATGGAAACACTTCCCGAAATCATCCCAAACGTTGGAGACTTAAATCTAATTAAATAATGGAAGCTAATTAAAAAAATTGACTGAAAAAGCTAGTTAAAGCCTCAAAGCTGAGCTACTCCTTTGTTAAATAAAGCCCTCTGATTATTAATCAATCCGTATATTGGGGACATTGTCTCATGGGGTGTCACTTCATCCCTCTTTCTTTCTCTCCATCTTTATCTATCAAGCAATTCTTTAATGATGGTTTGTTTACTTTTTGGTGTGATTACTTAGAGACATGATCGAAGTGCCGAATCCCACGTTAAACAGTTTATTTATTTTTTATTCTAATTAAGCTTAGTAAACAATGTTTTGAAACACATGATTCCAAGAAAATTGGTGTAATTATGGAGGCGAACTGTGTTGGGATATTCGAGAAATAAAACCCTATGAAARAGATATTTGCCTAATTCTACATCCTACTCCTTTTAATATTATCTGATTAGTCAATAATTCTTCATTAATGGATGCATTCCATTCTTTCTTTACATTATTAGAATTTAGAATCTAAGCTACTGCAATCAATTGGCCGGTGGAGCTACAGTTAAAATTAAAAATACATGGGCACATCAGAGCTGCATGCAAATTTTGCACCTGTTCCAGTTTTGCATCCAATTTGTTTGTTACTATGATTTGCACTTCTATCAGATCTGATGTAAAATTTATACATCAATTTTCTCTCATATACAGTGGGGATTACATCAACTTGTTTCTTATCTTATCCCAAAACAAATAACCCTTCTTTTRCCTTTGTTTTCTTTCATATAAGGTGGGGATCACATCGTTTTACTTCTTATACCAGTGCCAAAAAGAAAGAAAGAAGGAAAGAAAGAGTGCAAAACAAACTGAGCCATAGCAATAAAAATGCTTTTGTGGAGTTGACCAGGAAGTAGAGAGAAGGAAGAGAATCCATRCTACATATATTTAAATAATTCTCAGACATTTAATCAATTAAGGCTGTGTTTGGTTTGAAGGAAAAAGTAGGGAAAAGGATTGTAAAGGCTTCCCTACATTTCCCTTCCTTTCCCTACCTTTTCCTTCAAATTAAACCAAACATAGCCTAAGTATTTGATTTATAAAGTTTAAATATACTGTAAAAATAGATTACAAATTCTGAAGGCACATTGCATAGACAAAAGTCTCATGTGGTTATTTTATTTATTTGCAAATAGGTACTGCAGGTGATTCAATGGAGATTAATTGGCTTCYTATTGCCCCCACTGTAAGTTGACTATGCATATAATATTCTTCTTTACTCTGATACTACACATATTTATTTTCTAATTAATAAAATATTAAATGATGGATGAYAACATCTAATAATTTTAGTATGTTTTTGCAAATTTTTAGGCATGGCGGACGTATCGTATTGTATCTTTTGAAAAAGATATGCCCCAAAACACCTGTTTTCAGAATCCCACCTTTTTTTAATAAAAAAACATATTTTTAGCTTCCTTAAAAACCAAAATTTGAAAAAAAAAAACTAAAAAAAGGTGTTTCTATGTACCGATACGATACTGTCGATATGCGTATCATATCGATACTTTAAATCATGTTTCTAAGAGTTTTAGGATAATTTTATAAACACATGTATATTCTATGGTATAATGCCACATTAATTATTAGTAGTGGTAGATTGGTAGTGAAAAATGAACCTCAAATTGTAAATATTGCAACATGAGCAAGGTGCCAACTGGTTGGTTGGTAAGGTATCCAAATGGTTGTAGTAAAGACTTGGATCGAATCCTGCCTTGTACTAGGGAATGGTAAGGCCTCTAGCTGGTTGTAGTGGAGACTTGGGATCAATTCCACCTTCACCAGGGTTCTAGCTAGGAGATGTGTGTGTGTGGGGGGGGGGGGGGATGAGTTACTCCCTCTCCCCCATTTACCAGAAGAGGAAGAACAAAAAGAGCATCCAACCAGGATGTACATTAAATTGCTTTTGGTGCAACGTTTCCAGATTGAATGATTTCACAAAGTTGATGAGAAAAACATCACATGTTCAAATGCCTAATAAACAAGTCCTATTGCTATGTAGTTCTGTGGGTGAGCTTATACATGTTCATTAAGATCAATATATAGAGAGAGCATTACCATTTGTTTACTTGTAACCATTGTCCTTCAATATGTTTTTATTGGATGAATTTATCACACATAATGCTTGTTCAATGAATATATTACTCAAACCTTTTTTCTTTTTAATGAAATTAATTATTCAAATCCTTTAACTGTTTTTTTTTTTTTATTTCCATGTGCAATTCCATTAAACAAATCCATCATAATCAYAATTATGCTAAGTGATAAATGTGATTAGAGAGATTCCTTTGTAGCTTCTAGAATCCTCCTAGGCCTTGCTCAGTCTCTTATGCTTATTAAAGTGAAACCCTTTTTGTACACTAGACTAATTTAATAACTTTTACACCATAGCATTATAGATCAGTTTACTCTCATGGGTTTGATGTAAAGCCACACAAATTCAGTGATCATAATCACCATAATCAGGAATTATTAACTAAGGTTAACCTAAATTAACCTCTACTTCAATTGAGAGAGAGAGGACAGCTTGCTAATTACTTGATTAGAGACTTGGTTGAATAGAATATTATTTTTTGGTACTCCTTTGGACCACACTAGACTCTAGAGGGGGAGAGTATTTATTTGTTTGTTGTTGTGTGAGCCAAGGCTGTCAAATAACCGTTTCATTTACACGCTATTTGACGCTGTGTCAAACACGTCATGAACTGATAAACAGAAAGGCGCGGTACGCGCGGAGCGTTTTATTCTGTTTATTTAAAAAGTAAATGACAGATACCACCCTGTAGTTTGGGGATAGTGATATTTAGTCCCCGTACTCTTATTTGTGAAAAAGACCACTCAAAACTTTCAGATTTCAACCTTTGAACACTCCGTCAGTTAAGATTTTATTTCTTTCTCACCTAAGTGAATGAGAAAGAGATGATGTACTTTGACCTATCCATTTTTGTTAATTGGCAATATTGTCCTCTTATGATGTCACCATGCTTAATTCAAAAGGGTGTTTTGGTAAATTAGTGTTTTCATGAATCTGGG